ATTTTCCTTTAGACCCATAGAGTTTGACTCCCTCTTCTTAAAAGTACACAGATGAAAAAGAGCTAAGAAGGAAAAATGATATTATATTTCCAAACTTAGGATTAAATTTGGTTGTCACGGCATGTAAGCCCCACAGAGAAAAGATACACATATTTACATTCATTTTAGAGAAAACAGCAAGGGGAAGTTTTCTAAAATAGATATTTGTAAATACCACAGTAATGTTCCTGAAACATACATGCATAGTAATTTATACATAACTAAATGGCAACTCTATTGTGACTGGGTTTTTTTTTTTATTTTTAATATTATAATTTGGTTAAAGTTTTATTTAAGTAATCTCTACACCAAACCTGGGGCTCAAACTCTCAACCCCGAGATCAAGAGTTGCATGCTCTTCTGACTGAGACGGCCAGGCGTCCCTGTACTTTTATAATTTTTAAGGAAAAAATGCAAAGACCCATTTCATTCTTAGCTTTAAAAATATAGGCTGTTTGCTTACATTGTTGTGATATCAATGGTAAATGATATCAGAAAACTTATTTTCCATGATGAAACTGACCAATCACATCCTAAATGTGATCTCTGGTGATATATACTAACTATCACTACATGAGGAATTAGGAAAAAATCATTTTTCACCTTAATTCAAAGAAAAAGAAAAACAAAAACCCAAAATTTTGCTACAGATCACAGTTTATGACAGATACCTTATTCATGAGATTTTTTTTTTTTTAATTGATCTAGGTTTTGGAGATTTTTCCTTAAGAAAGTTCTCAGCCAATTTTGTCAGTTACCTAAGGGTAAACTACTTCAGGACTATAGTAAATAGAAAAAAGAATGGTCAGGGAAGTCCCAGGTCTGCTAGTCACAAGTTCTAAGTTGTGTCTCACTTCAAGAAGGGCAAGTCACAGGAGAGAATAATCCGGATATAGAGTAAAAAAGAACAAAAACTGAAAATTAGCAAAAGCCAAAATATCCATCTGTAGAACAAGAAAGAAGAGCAGATGTAATAGACTCACATTATCAAAAGATAATCAAAAACGTGATTTGTGGCGTTACTAACACTAGCTATTTGTACAAATCATCTGTTGGTCCATTTGGCTTAAGTTCTAGTGATAACAACGGGGTAGGTGAGAAATTCAAAACAGATCATTCAAGGGCGAAAAAGAAAACAAGATACATTAAAACAAAAAGGATAAATATGTTATTTTAATCTCAATATAAATACTGTATGGGTATGATAAAAAGCAACAGAAAAAAGTACCAAAAATCCTTTAAACATTTCTGACAATGATAAAAAAAAAAAAAAAGAAACCCAGGCATAAAGATAAATATTGAAGAGAATAGTCTTGATGGGGGTTAAGAATATCACCTTATGCTTACAAGTTTACACTTATTTATTTCCCTCATGGAAAGATGATTAGATAAAAGCTAAAATTCTATTAGATGAGATACAGAAATACAGGACTATAAACACAATTAAGAGTCCAGGCACCAACATGGATTGACACTGCTTTCTGTCTAAGAAGAGACTGCAGGAGGATGAAACCCAAAGGGGGAGATTTTAGTTCCTCAGGGTGAAATTGCAAGTAGCTATACCTCAGTGTCCCCGGTTTAGTGTAATTACTTCAGAATTGGCAGTCAGATGAAGCTTCGAATGTGACCAAGAGTTGGAGGCATACCAGGCATTATGCAAAATGAACATGAACCAGCAAGAGAAATAGTGCTTCTTACGCTTTAACTCCAACAAAGATGGCCCCGGGGGACTAATGGATGGCAAACTGAAGCAGAATAGTCTTTGGTCTAGAAAAGTATGTCCTTTGATCTAGCACATCAGAAAGACCTTAGGGATTTTTTTAGCATATGCAAATGATCATGAGTAGAAAAACAAATCAAATAGCAATACTCCACTCTGAAAATTGTAATCAAACACTGGACATCAAGAGAATGCATAATTATATTCAAGCTGTTGCTGGTATAAAGAAACGGTGATTCAGGTGACGTAAAAAGCTCCTCTACCATAATTATACCTTTCAGTTCAACCTTGAGTTTTTTTAAACTGTTATTTCAGTTTTGTGAAATGACAGTTGATTAAAAAAAATTAATACTTCTGTCTATGGACCCGATTCAGAAGTTTTAAAAGAACCTTCCCGAAATGCCTTTTTAAAAATTATATATAGAATTAGCACAAAATAAAAATTGGGGGGCTTGTCACTAAGGAGAGTTAGCCAATACGACAATCTAAGAGACTAAGGCAAAATTTTGACTCGAGTCCTTTTTAAAACAAAGTTTCCATTAGGGGGATGGAATGTCCTACTCTGCACACAAGCTATCCATCGAATTTCACCTCACGGGTCACCTTTTCTCTCCATGTCTCAAAATGCTAAAATTTCTCCATAATTTTCCAAATGGTAACCTCTATTTTGTGAGTGAGGATCCATCTGGTAAGCTTCATTATGTCGAGAAAAAAAAATGTTATTTCACCACCAAAGACTTAGGGTTATTGGTGGATGTTTCTTTTTCACTGAAGTCTAACTGACATGCAATGTTTTATTATTTTCAGGTGTACAACATATTTATTCAACAATCTATACATTACTCGATGCTCCCCACAATAAGTATAATTACCATACGTTACTATAATATTGCTGACTACATCCCCTATGTTATGCTATTTCAGTTATTTTATAACTGAAAGTCTGTATCTCTTAATCCCTTTCACCTACTTAGCCCACCCCCCGCAACCTCCCCTCTGGCCACTAGTTTGTTCTCTGCATTTGAGTCTATTTCTGGTTTTTGTTATTGTTGTTGTTCGTTCATCTGTTTTGTTTTTCAGATTCCACATATAAGTGAAATGATACAGTATGTATCTTTCTCTGTCTGACTTACTTCGCTTATCATAATACCCTCAGGCCCATCCATGTTGGTGGCTGTTTTAAGGTAATAATGTTCCCAACATATTTCAGGGAATGAAAGAAGTTTAAGAGTAAAAACTCCAAGTTCCAAGTGTGTATCAAGATAGACTATCTACTAGGATATATAGTTAAACATTTGTAAAAGCAAAATCCTCAACTACTTCCCTTATGATGACAACATCGTATGCAAACGCTTAACTTTCTAGGGATTCCCCACTAAAAGTATCCAAGACTGAACTGATGGACAGACCTGTTGACTGTAGGCCCAGAAAGCATCTAAAAGGAGCTCAGCTTCCAGCCCATGAAAGAGCAATGGTAACTGTAATGACAGGGCCCATGGCTATGCCCTCACATCGCTCCTATTAATGACGATCCCTGGCACCTAGTGATATGTGCGTGCTGGTATCTTTTCAAGAATTCATTATATTTTGGGGGACAGGTTGGTAGTAATGTTGTCATTTTTAACCTATCAACAACTCTGTCTAGGCAGGGTTTAAATGGACCGCCTTTTCTTTTGAGTGTAATGGATTTGACATATATATATATGTGTGTGTGTGGAATTATCTAGTTCTTCTTGAGAAGGATAAGAGAAATAGTAATAAGCTGATAAGCTACTATAAATCCTCCCATTTTCTCTCTCCGACACACATTTGTAAATCACTGAGCTGCATGAACATCCAAAATATGAAGTAGAAGAACAATCTAGAGCTTTTCGTCTTTGCATAGCCTGTCTTGTGAAAAAGATTTCTTAAATCAAAAACAAAAAATTCATCTCTACACAGAATATATGGGTCATAATGACCTGAATAAACATAAAGCCTCATCTATACTCAGACCATCTTGTATATCAAGATATAGAAGATTCTATTTTCTTAAATCATTTCAAACATGAACGAACCTTGATAACATGAAAGCATTTCACAGACCCTCACATAACAGCACTTGCACATGAAAACACATTATTTAAAAAAAAACAAAACAGAGTTAGGAACATTTGAAAGAATTCTGTATTTTAACAACAGCATCAATGTATTCTTGAAAAGAGCAAGTAAATATATGAGACCTCATTTGGTCTATAGACAATGCTTCACATATAAAAAATATCACAATCTTTTCCACCCCTTCTCCCCAGACTCCACCTGTGACCCGCAATCCCAGGCCCCATGTTAGAGACCAATGCTATGGGTTAGGGGTGCCAGAAGGCTGGGGTGTAGAGGAAAAGAAGAGGCGATCAATCACCTGTTAATCCAGGACTCACCAACGTTATTCTCCCTTGGTGCATGAAGAGCAGAATTTGATTACTCAGTAGGCTCATGATCAAATGCAAAATACTCAAAGATGCTCAAAGAGACACTGGGAAACAAGTGGGGAGAGAGAGGAGGGAGGGAGGAAGAGACTGATTAAGAATGACTGATTGACCTTGGATGAAACTATCCAGAATCATGCTATCAGAAAATTTATAAAGAAGCCATCTTAATTTCCATATATATTTAAGTTTTAGAATGCTCCTAAAGGTCTTCATCTGGGGTTAAGTGTACTACGTAGGTAAGCATAACAGTGTTAAAATAGGACACCTGTTTCAGAACAAAGTCATGGCAAATACTGCCACATTCTAAACCACACTGTTATACCACTTAAGCAGGGACACCAAAGGGGGTGGCTGAAAATCCACTTGCTGCCCTTGGCTGACCCCCAGTTCTGGTCTTTCAGAAGCAGATGGAGAGCAAAGAGATGATTTCTGGGAGGGAGGGTTTGGTAGGCTCATAGTCCTGCTGTCTTCCACACCCAAGCTTGCCCTAGCAAGAGTGGCTTCAGGGACACCTGTGTCCTCAGGATGCAGGACACTAGAGACCAGCATCTGACTGTACCTGAAGATCAAGATGAAGAGACAGGCTAAGTAGGCTGTGGCAGCAGAGGGCAGGGCTGCCACTGGGAGGTGGCTTGCTGCCAACAAGCAGACCGGCTGTCCTAGAAAGAGGCAGCCTGGAGAATGTCTGTAATGCCCCCAAGAGAACTTAGGACAAGGCAGTCATCACCACCAACCAGCTGGGGGACCAGTGGCTGCAGCAAGAGAACCACAGGTCAGATTTCTGGGGATGGGCACGCCCCAGAAAACCCTCCCAAGTGCCCCCCAAAGCGTGTCAGCTTTAACACCTGACAAGCTTGATGAACAGCACTGCCATCAAGACTTCCTGCCAACTCTCCTCTTCTCCCATGTTCCCACGGCACCGAGAGGGGCAGGAGCTCTGGACAAGGGGCAGAGGTGTGAGGAACCCAGCAGTCTGAAGTGAGAGGCAGCTTCCCAGAGCCCTTTCCACTCCAGGCCTCCTGCCTGGGGCAGCCTGGGCCCCAAGACAAGTAACGTGCACTAACTTCAGACTTCACCTATTACACAGGATTGGGCGATTTAATTACCAAAATGAGACTTTTGTGACTTGAAATGACCGGCGGGGGTGTCTCATGGTCCGAATGTAAGAAAGGCTGTGGGACCCATCCTAATTTAACCAATGGGACAGAGGAGAACAAGCCCCCCACAGAGCAGGTAGGTAGGCAGGGAGTTAATCTGTTTTCGGTTACCCTTCAAGGTACCTGTTATCGTAGAATTTCAAACTTCTAATGACAAATGCATAAGATTTTAATTACACGGGTCTTCAAAGAAAGAAATAGCTCAAATCTAAAAATTACTGAGTGATGTGCTCATAGTGACTATCAGTTTTCTCAAATGAATCCAGAAGGGTATTTTAATTATATGATACCTAAATGGCAGTATATTCCAGCATCAATGTTTTATTATTAATATCATGGTAATATTTTAGAACAGTAAAGGACTAGTCCAGATTCTGACCCTACAGACAAGGAGATTATATCCACAGAGAGCCTACATAACTGCATGATTTTCAGCTCAATATTACTTCCATTACTTTCTCAGAATCAGAAAATCTCTACTGCGAAGATTTACAAATAAACTTAATTTTGAGATGTGAAATTGTTACAAAAATAAGACAAAAGCCACATAGTGAGGCAGATCAAATTCTTCCCCTACACAGAGGAAGAAAGAGGAAATACTTACAGACGATGGCAAAGGGGGTTTCTATTTGCGCAAGCATCCTATTTCCAGGAGATCTGAAAGTGGCTTGAATGGTTGGTTCAAGAAAAGGTATCTAGGTATGGTACAGAAATGGTGTAATGGAAGTGAAGGGGTACAAAGATGAGAAAAGACAGAGAGACTTGTTTCAGGATGGCTGATATTGCCGGGGGACCCAAAAAGGTGACAAACATGTTCTGAGAAACAGGCTTTCATTCCCAAGACAAGACCAATGTGAAGCCTGGATTAGAACTTTAACTACAGGCACAGAAGATAAGAAATTTCAAAACAAAAGCAAATTGAACAAAATTAGGAATAGTTTAGCTATGAATAGATAATAGATTTAAATTATCGCCAGAAATATAATATTGAAGCAATAGTTCTCAAAATCAATATGTAGGTGTCATCATCATGGAAATGGTCACTTATTAAAAAAAAAAAGTTTCCATGAATATAAACAGATATAGTAAGTGCAAAAGAACCAAGATGCACAAGAAGAGGTGAACATGCACTCATTTGGGAAACAGCACTGAAAGGCTCCTGAAAAGGTAGCAAAATATCCACAATATGGAGAATATCGAGAAAATCAGATCCCACAATCAGGAAAAATAATAAAAATGAAGCCCATCAGTTAAGCCAATCTTTAAAAAGTCATCCTATTAAGTCACAGAGCAAATAAAAACAAAATAATACAACAATGGAAATAATACAATATGCGCCTCCCTGTTTTGCATGCTCTGGAAAAATGTGGATCAGGAACATCAATGTTGGTGAGACTCTAATTTCCATTCAGAATTATTTGGGATATTCAGGGTCTTCGGGACTGGAAGGATCCTTCCCTCTCCCTCTCTTTTTAGCAGAAGAGGAAAGGGACACCAACGTAGTAATGTGGCCACTTTACACAATTTGTCACAATGTTGGTCCAGACTTAGCCTCTGGAATCCTGCGACGGCACCTTTCCTCATGCTACAGTCATTTCCCTTTTCAAGATTACATTTTATGTATGTGTCAGATAAAGAACAATACTAGCTTAATTTTGCAATATACTGCATTTGCTGGTGCTATTTTTTATACAATGAAGCAACAGCCTTGCAGGAAGATAAATAGTTTAATAAGAAAACATTCAACTTCTTTGTTAAAAAAAAAAAAAAAAAAAAAGATTACATTTTAGAGGGGAGGGGGTGGGGGGATGGGTTAGCCTAATGATGGGTATTAAGGAGGGCACGTACTGCATGGAGCACTGGGTGTTATATGAAAACAATGAATCGTGGATCATTACATCAAAAAACTAATGATGTATTGTATGGTGACTAACATAACATAATAAAATTAAATTTTAAAAAATGGGAACTCATAAAAAAAAAAACTAAAAAAAAAAAAAAAGATTACATTCATACAGATAACAAACCGTTTCTATAGGACCTGGAAAAATAGAGGAGGCAAGAAGTAGGACTTGAAATAGTCAAGATTTTTTTTGATAAGAGATACACAATATTAATAATAAAAGCCTTCCTTTGAGCAGAAGCATATTATAATTACAAAGCCACTGATAGAGAAAGCATATGCTTGTAAGGTATGGAGAGTATTTCAATCTACCTCACTTCAGATGAAGAAAAACCAAAAATCTCTAAGGTTCTAACTAGAGATCAGTAAAATATTGGTTCATTACAAGATAGAGGTTATTTCTAAGACTCAGAGTCCAAGCCACAATGGGAAGCAAAGCAGAAGGACTGGAGGCAACAGCAAACATGCACTCGCTTAGATCACAATTTCTTTGTAAATACATGGAAACACATACCCATTTTTCCACATCAACTTGCTGTGGAAAGAAAAAGCCAAAATAAATAACAAGCAAACAAATAAATATGTGGCGATGTTTCAATTAATGTCACTTCAATAAACTGAAATGTGGTCCCTGCACTAAAATCTACTTCCAATTCTAACACATAATAAAAGTATTCAAAATTTTCATTAATAACATTTAATCTCCTCAAACAACAAGAAAAATCAATTAATTTAGTAATCGGAACTTCTAAAGTTATTAGGCTAGAAAAGCACAAGGTACATGAAATAATAATCCAACATATTTAAAAGCAAACATGAACCTTTACCTAATTCTCAAACCTAATAGGTCTCCTGATTTAGGGACAACTATTCTCCTCTAAGTGTCTAGTTAATGAAAAAGGTCACTTTAGAAATACAGCATCTAACTATAAAAAGATTTTATGTAATACAGGTAAAATTTCTCTTACTCCAATCTTCCTAATATTGTATAAAATGTCACAATATAATAAAAGGCATGCCTTGCCAAATAATTCTGAAATTATATCAGCAAATTATTTTTAAAAATGCATTAATGAATGCCTGTTACCCTCATAATCATTATGTGATTCTTTAAAAAACTAAGTGACTATAATTATACTCCAAAGTGTAAAATAGAATAAAAAAACCATACATCAACAAGGACTGTCTTCTACAATGCTCTAGGATTCCTAGCAAATCAATCAGAACAACAACAACAAAAAATCAACATTGAGGGGCATACTCTGTCTCAAAGTTAAGTTTTCATGACCCATACCTCCCCCTTCTATAACACATATGATCGGTGTCCTGTGACATTGGAGCTTTGCTTCAGATTCTTCATACGTTTAATTTTATTCGTAACCATTTTCCCTAGAAAAATCCATTAATCAGGGAAGAATCTAACGCTATTTAGGCAGAAATCTTAGGCCATAGCTAAGAATCTGCTTCCCTTGGTAAGCAAGCTCCTAGGAGGAAATGTGTATAAAATATAACATACAGAGTGGTATTTTTAAGATATTATAAAGTGATATAAAAATATCAACTTAAATATACAGGTGGAATTGTTTTGAAGCCTCAGTGAAATTCAATTCACTTAAATTTCTTGTAATAGAGCACCTTGATTTATTTAACAATTTGGTTAGTCCTCTGAAAAATCTCTTCTAAGCCTCCTCCCAACCTTTTCATTTTAAGAACACACAATTGCTATTTAAGAAAGAAAAATTTACTGAATGGAAAGGCCTGGTTTTCACTATACATTTTTAAGGTATTTGGCTGTGATAGAAAGTTCAAGTCCTCTTTTTAAACATTAATCTATTAGAGTGATGAATTTATTTCTCTGGGTTCTGGGGCAAAGGGAAGAAATTTAGTCAGTTACAAAATAGTTACCATTTACTTTTCTACCTCCAAAAGGAAAAATTCTTATATTTATTGTCTTTCAAGAACAACTCAAGGAAATGTGAAATGATTTCCTTTAAATATTTGTCAGGAAAACAAAATATGCCACACTTTCAGTGACTTCAATGATTAGCAAAGACATATTAACCCATCACTATTTTCACTTCTAAATGTTAAACGTTCTCTCTCACCCCCCGCCACACACACTTGCATCAGTGCAAATAAAGAGGCTTGCAGGATTTTTCTAGAAGAAAGAGAACTTAAAATCAAGAGTCAAAACTACCATTAGTAATACAAGTTCTTTAATGATGTGTATTTACAAAGAGAAACAGTTTCATAAGTAGCAAGAATTAGTAGCAATATAACAAACTCAGTATCCCAATACCCAAAGAAAGGCTTAGCAACAGCATGTGCCAGGGATGAATTATCAGATCAACACACAAGACAAGACAAATGGCCCACAGATTTAAAAGACGAAAGTGCCATACAGTTGTAATTATGCATATAAGCAATGCAGAAAGATTTCATGACACATCTCTTATTAATGTTAACAAGAATCATTTCATTAAATGCCTGCAAATGGTGAAGAGGAGAATGATTTCTGTGGAGCTAATTGAGGAAGGGAAATATAGAGTTCATAATAACCTTGATTAATTTTTATACTTTAATTACCAAATCCATAAAGCATATAAGACAAATGAACATTCATTCCAATCATTTATTATCCAAACATTTGGGATTTTTAAAAAAATAGAGATTTCATTAATTTAGAGAAAATATTTTAATACCTTTAGGAAATTACATCAAATATTCTATCATAATAAGACTAAAAAAGGGCAACCTCATTTTTCAAATAAAACAAAACTTCCATTAAGAAGAACAAAATTTAACTAAGGGTTGCTGGAGTGGTGGGGGGTGGGAGGGATGGGGTGGCTGGGTGATAGACATTGGGGAGGGTATGTGCTATGGTGAGCGCTGTGAATTGTGTAAGACTGCTGAATCACAGACCTGTACCTCTGAAACAAATAATACATTATACGTTAAAAAAAAAAAAAAAAAAAAGATAGTAGGAAGGGAAAAATGAAGGGGAGGAAATCGGAGG